AAACAGAAGGATCAACCCTTGAGGCTAAAGGGGTGACTCAAGGGGATAAACGAAATTGAACCATGCATCAAACTTAGTGCATGTTTAAATACCAATTAAACCACATTGAACACCAATGACCCATGAGAGTGGATTTCTCAATTTCACCCCTATTTAATAGGCATTTTCTCCATCAATTGTTCGCTTATATTTTATAAAATCAAATTAATGGAGTTGAGACAATGAGATATTAAATCATCCAGATTTATTTCTATTAAATATTTCTTAATCTATGTGCATTAACCTTAAATGACTAAAGATTTGGGACAGAGTAAGAATAAGCTATCAGTGTGGTTGAATGAGACAGTGACACCCAGGTTTGGATCCAGGCAGAAACTCCTCTTGCAGTCTTGCACCAAAAGCAGGCATAATTGGCTACAGTCAGGCCATGATTTCTCCCCTGTTCCAGCATTTCTTGAAACTGATTCTCAACCACTTTAGCTTTCAGTCTACTATGGGGTTAACTGGAATTTGGAAGGTGTTAAATCAATGATTTGATATGCTCTATTACATAGTAGTCAATCCCGGATAACTGAGCGGAATGATCAACCCTAAAAATGAGATAGCGGGATGACGCAGAGCGGGATAACCGCTATTTTAATATTAATTTATATATATTAAATAATTAATAATATATATATAAAAATAGAAACATAACTTAATTTATACATTAAATATTTTTAATAATAAAAATTTATAATAGTTAAACTAAATAAAAAAAATTAAGAAAACAAAATATTTAAGGTCTTATATTAAATTTTTTATTACTTAAAATATTATCTGAATTATAATAATAATTAATAATAAAGATAAGTTCCGTTCTAAAAAAAATAGTGAAGTAAAAGGCCCTTAATCAAATCAAAAGATAAAATAAAACTTGGCTCATTTGCCCAACTTTTCCAACCCTAATTATTTTTCCACCCTTCTGATCGTGAGACTCAAGTTGTGCGCTGCCTTCCCTCTTAGAAGACAAGTTTGTAGATGCTGGAGAAGACAGAGCCACCATTGGAGAAGACAGATCCACTATCAGAGAAGACAGATTGACGGAGATCTGCCAGAGAAGACAAATGGACGAAGATTCGTCAGCGAAGAAGAGAGATCGGCAAAGATCTGCCGGAAAAAGAAGAGAAGATCCGTCACCCACCCACGATCGCGCCACCACGCTCTGCCGCTTTCGCGGCCAGTCCGCCCGCTCCTTCAAAGCGCTCCGCAACAAACTTTTTGAAGCAGCACGGAGCCACTCCGCTCTGACGCGATTGCGGCCGCGACAACCACTATTGACTACTATGATCTATTATTCTGTAATTAGGGAAACTTGTATAGCAGAAATTAGGGATTCTGTAATTATTACCCATTACTCTTTGTTTCCTTATTTTGTATCCTTATTCACTATAAATAGAGGATTTTACATGTGTGGTAATGAACACACATTTTCTCAGCAATTGTATAGAAGGTCTCATGATTCTAAGGTAGTAAAACAATGCAGTAGATTGGATAGTTCAGACGACAAGCAAGGGTGAGGGGGGTGTCCCATTGAAAGGAAGAATGATTTATCTCGGCCTCTTTGGTTTGTATTCTTTAGTCAAACAGGTGTTTTTTCCATGAGTCTAGCGATGTGAGTTTCTTAGTTTTTGGGTGTTCTTTGGTTGCTTCTGCTATACACTTTCATGTTGTGTTTATGTTATCCTTCAAGTTACTGTAATGACCAAAGAAATAATTACTGCAAGCTTCCAACATTTCTTGAAAATACAATCATTCTATAAGTTCTCAAGCTAGTAAGTTTAGAAACAAATCAAAACATACCCATGAAGAATTCAAGCCAGTAATTATTCTCAATTGCATCCTTGAACTGTTTCACTTTTGCATCATCGAGATCTATCTGGCAAAAGACAGTCTTCTCCACATTTCCTGAAAATAAGAGTATCCATTAAAGCCAGTTTGTCAACTGACAGCTCTTCTATGAAATACAAACAAAAGAAGACTTCATACTTTGGAACTTTATCTCAATTTGGCTATCAATGAGTTCATTGCCACCCAGGACCTCACCAAGACCACCCCATTTGTGTGCGGCACTAGCACTACTAGATGGATGACAAAATGGGAGGCTGTAATAGTTGTATGTTTCTTGTGGATTGTTATAAGGGCCAACTTTGTTCACCCAAAGGGTAACTGCTTCATCACGTTGATACTGCAATAACATAAAATACATCCTTTTAAAAACAAAAGCTGTACACCACTGCATACTACAAATGGAATATACATATTTTAATCTGTTTCACCAGTTCAGAGGGAAAAAAATAATGGGATAACAGATATAGTATAGGGGTTTGTTTAAAAGTTACAACTGATTAAGGATATTGAGAAGTAGACAATCACCTCTATTGAGGAAGCAAGGAAACATGAATTGAATCATAACACTGAATATTAGGTAAAGAAAAAGAGAACAACAACAAACACCAATTTATTGAATTGATTCATAATTTGATTTCAGTGAATGATAATCATTTAGATAATCTATGGTAGTCTTCTGGAACAAATACTAAGACGCCACACAGTGACAATGTTTTAATATAAAGCTCTACTTTAAACCAACTAGCAACACATGTAATAGGTGTCCACATCAAGTCACTCTTAGAAAATCAAAACCCAAAATCATTGTCTTGGAAGCCAATTTTATTTGGAGAACCAGATAACAATGCTGTTAGATGAAGTAAAAAACACATAAGATGATGCCCTGATCTTAAACATTACCTTAAGGACTTTAAAAGCATAACTAAATCAAACTAATCCACCAACAAAACTTCATTTGTTAATATAATAATATTCAATTTACAACCTCAAGAATGCCCATACCAATCCTACATACTCAATTATTTTCAAACCAATCCTTCTCATTGTGATACTGTCAAACTTTGCAAACATACTTAGGAACTGTCAAACTCACTTTACTAGAAACTTTTAACCTGAAAATAAGGTAAACAAATAGGGTTGCCGTGCTATACATCAATCTCCACACAGTGGCACAAACCACAACAAAAAACCTACCTAGCTTCCATACTAACATCAGGAGTGTAAGCCAAGACTTCTAAACAATCCAGCACCGACAAATTTTCTTTTCTGTCCAATTTGAGTCAACCCTCATTGCAAAATCTCTTCGTGGACCCTTTAATGGCTTCAACGACAATCAAAGCCTAATCAGTAATCACCCCGTGAGCTGTTCCCACCTCACAATAGAGTTCGGTTTCAAAACCCACGAAGCTCAACTCGAAGCCTAAAACTAGCCCATGAGCGTTAAAGGGAGATTTGAACATTAAAAACCAAGAAACGATCCAAGATCATGAACTAATGATACGAGTAAAAGGGTAAGAAGAAGTAAAATTGAATCCAATCTCGGAAGAAAACGGCACATATCGAACAGCAAACAGCCACATTGCGGAGAGACCTAGGTGTGAGCAGAGGCAAAAACCCAGCCGAGATCTAAGAGTCGGAAAGCCCAAGCATCGCAATACATTGAAATTGAGCGGCAGTAAGAGCAGATCGAAAGGACAATGCAGCAGAGAAAGTGCAGATCGAATCGGAGAGAGGGAAAGGGGGAATTACCTTGTGATCTGACTCTGAAGCGAGGGCCGAAGAGAGGAAGAGAGAAAGTAGGAGCGGGAAGACGAGGGATCGGGACATGGCGGAGATGGAAGAAGGAAGACGAGGAGAGAGAAAGCGCAGACTATAATGGTAATTCACGTTACGACTACAGAGCAACCAAACACGATGCCTTCAATTCGATTTTGATTACGCTGTTTACGAACTCAAACTCTCTTCTCTCACGGTGACTTTCCGTCTTGGGCTTTTTTTTCCCCTTTTCTATGGGTCCTCTATTATTTGGGCCTCTAATATTCCCACGTCTGACCCAAAACCCAAAGATTTCTATCATCTTTTTTTTTTTTTGGGTAATGATATATACACTTTTTTTTTTTATATATATAAGTACACCTCCTTAATTTTTTTTAAAACATTTATAAATTTTTTTATTTTTAACTTTCAATTTACTATTTTTTTTCTCACACACCTCCTTCCTTCTCTTTTTCAGTTTTCACATGCATCATCTTGTCTTCTTCTAATTTTTCACATATTTCAGTGAGTAATTTTAGTTCTTTCTCTCTTATTTTCTCACCTCTTTCACTTTTTCACATACACCCAAATCATAAAACTGGTAGGCGACAACATTATAGATACGTATAGCTTTCTCGACAGTTTCTATCAAACTAGAGACACATTTTTTCTTCCGATACTTCCTTTTCTTTCATCCTTCCAAAAATCTTAACATTAAGTTTAGTGTTATAAAAAAAACATTTTTACTATTCTAGAGTACTATACGGATAGTGAAATCAGCAAAAAAAATTGAAAGAGGACGGAAAAATGAATAATATAAAACTAAAAGAATTAAAATTACCTACCAAAATAGGTGGTGATGAAGAAAAATTAAGGAGGTGCATGTGAACATAAGAGAAAGAGGTATATAAAAAAGTGTTAAATAAAATGTTAGAAGTGTAAAATTAAAAAATTAAAAATAATCAAAAAATTAAAGATATTTTAAATTTTTTTTTTTTTGGTTCGTCCTTGGAGTATCCACCGCTGATAGCAGTGACTAATATTCTCGCTACGTTGGAGACACTTCAAAAAGTGAGATAGTTGGCCCCAAGATTTAACGCGACCTGCATACACAATGCATGATTCGAACCTCCGACCTTGCTTAAGCGTGAATCAACCCCTACTGCTGAATCACATGCGTGGGGTTTTTAAAGAAAAAGGGATGTACTTATAAAAACTAAAGAGATGTATATATCATGATTTTTTTTTCTTTTTAAACTCTTTTATTAAATTAAAATTAAAAGATGTGCCATAAAAAAAAATATATATATATCTAGAAAACATTACAATATGAGAGAGAGAATAGAAAAGAGAAACATGACAGAGTCAGTAGCAGTGAGAAGTGAAAGACAACATCGAAAAGAGAATAGAAGAGAGGGTATATTAAGAATGAGAGAAGTTCTAACATGTTCTTCAGTCTGACAAACACATTCATACAGGTACAACACCTTAACTTATTCTTCTATTTCTGTTTGTTGGAGTGAAATATATAAAGAAATGATTCCATCTTGTATGCAAAAATTGGACTAGAATATAAGAAAATGTTGGATGGATCGATCATTCTATCATGTTTGGCTATTTTCAATGATTTTTGTTTTTAACAATCAGGACATAGTAATTTAGTACTATCATTTTATTTCATCACAATTCCGTTTTATTTTTATTTTTATTATCAATACTGGAAACACAACTTTCTGATATACTCAATCTTAATATTTGTTTCTGAAAACATTAATTTCGTTTGTTAATTAAAAACTGTGCTTACCATATATATATATATATATATATATGCCCAATTTTATGCTTTTCATCTTAACAATTTATGATGAACTTAATCTAGTTTCAATATTGTCGGAGTATCTTAATATAAAACAATAGAGATTTCTTACATATGTAAAGTTATTGATTTTTACAATAGTTATATTAAAAGTTAAGCTTAAAGTAATTTTTAATTAGTTAACAATGTAAAAAGTATTTCTATTAATAATATATAAAATTGATTTTTTTCTTAATTTTTAATTGCTATGATTTTTATTTTTTTTTTTAAAACGAGTTCACGACATTTCCTGAAAATTTACGTTGCCTTCAATCCCGTTCATAAACTAAGCTAAGGCCAGCTATTAGTAGCCATTAAATGCCTCAAAAGTCATTTCTTAAAAAAAATAATTAGAACAATAATTAAGCTCTGTGTCGTTTAGATGACACAGGAAGTGATTACTGGGAAACAATTGGTTCAGATATTTTATTTTATGGAGGGGAGAAGACATTTAATGAGAAGAGAAACTACTTTTTTTTTTCTTGTTTGGTTTATAAGAATGAGAAATTTTTTTAAATTAATTTTTTAATACTTTTATAATTTTAGATTTCAAACTTTAAGTACAGATATATTAGTCAGTATACTTGAAATATTTTAAATCTTCTTTAATCCTACCAAATCATTAGAGAACAAATTTTAGATAACTAGAAGTTTAATTTAATTGTTTATGAACTTTGTTAATTTGATCTTAATGTTTATAAACATTAATTTAATTGTTATTTTAGATATTGAATACTTTATAATAACAATATTTTTTAAATTTGAAATATGAAATAGTATTATTATGAACATGTCATTTTAAATTTGAAATTTTTACATGTGGTATTTGATAATAATTTTAAATTATGTTAATTATATTATTAGTTATTTATTTTTTTAATACAGAACAATTTAAAAAGTGAATCCTAATTTGACCACTAAACCATCATACCATTGTTTGGATGAATTGAATAATTAATTCGATTTTTATAACTTAGAATATTGAACCTATGAGAAGGCAGTTCTCCATATGATCACACGTATATCCTTTTGTACTTATGCAACTGTCCATGTCATTTTATTGAATATTTAACCTATTACACTACCTTACCCATAAGATATTAGTAGCATTACTATGATAAACATATATTAAATAATTTTAAAGGAGAACATATATTTAATAGAGAAAACAAAACACATTATGCCAGCATTTATATTGAGTGAACAATATATTAAAACAAAAATAGAAAACTAGTCCATTATTATTACATCATAAACAAAAAAATGACATCAGTATACATCAGAACATTTAAGAAATATTAAACACATATTACGGATGGTAATAACTTGTGACATTTTTTAAAAGACTTTTACAAAAAAAATATTTAAGTTTTAAAACACATTTTCATGGATAGATTGGAATTGGATATTCATCTATTAAAAATTATTAATAGATAAATCGGATTTTTTTTTCTTAAATAGATAAAATAGATTAAATTTTTAAATAATTTTTTAGTAGATCTAAATGATTTTTTTTTTCAATTCATTATAACTCAATTTAAAAATCATTCAATTTATCCATTATAAAGTTTCGTTTAAATAAATTAAAAAAAAAAAGAATTACATAAATTCTAAAAAAATAATTAAACTCCTACAAAATACAAGCAATACAAGTATCGAATATATATATATATATATATATATCAAACACAATTCATTATTATAATTAACATACCTTTTTTGTGTAAAATGAATGTGAATAAAATATGTTCAAAATTGTATACAAAAATAAATACGTGAAATTCTAATAAAAATATATATTTATTTATAAAAAAAAATTATTCATTATCAAGTGTTTCTTAGAACACAAAACATCACTCTCACACAGGTTTAAATTTTCTCGACTTAAGTTTTCTAGTTAGAATACAAACCCTAATCACTTGATTAAACAACGTAAGTCCTTCACCACTCTTACCAACCCAAGTTGATAAATATAACTAAATCTAATCATAGGTTGGTTTATATTTGATTAAAAAAATCAACAACAAAAACATCACACAGAGACATACAGATTATGTGAAAAACATCTCAGGTAATAACGTAAATTAAAGGAAGAAGCGTTTCTCACCTTTCTTCCTTATGGATTACGCCATCTCATGGATGCAATAAGGAGACAGAGTTTAACATTTTTTAGTTGAAAATAGTGCCTTCTGTGGCAAAGATAAAGAAAAACATGTAAAACAAGGACAAAAAGAATTTACAATATTCCTTTGTTTTGTGTTACGAGTGTTTGGTTGTTTCAATAATGGAACGAAATGGAAGTTCAATAACTCTCAATTCATGGTAAACAAAAATATGTCACATGAAAATAAAGAAACAAAAATAAACAAGAAAGGTAGGTCACGTGATTAATAATTGATAATTAACAACAGTCAAATGATGGACAAACCTTAAAACGGTAATCGTAATATTGGTGTTTACAAATTAACCTACCAACATAATATAAACACTAGACAAACCTAAAAGCTATCTTTCTGCAATATTGGACAACATGGAACACAAAAATCATCATATATAAAATGCTTAAGTGGTAGCTATAAAACATATAATGTGGCCAATTCTTGCTAAAAGGTTGCACCGTTACTTAAACATGTGTCACATTACATAGAAGAGGAAAGTGAAAAAAGCATAAATTCCCTTTCTGAAGGGGGAAATTAAGCAAGAGAAAGTATATATAGAAGAGAGAATTGCTGGGAAGAAAAAGAAGCGTCATCTAATTTAAAAAAATGCATTCGAAAAGTGTAAAGCTTTTAATAAAGTAGATTAAATGTTTAATTCAATCTTAAAAAAATTAATTTGTTAGGTGAGAATTATTTCTCACTTATATAAAAAACTGTGTTAAAAATATAACTTAATTTTACAAAATTTGATTTATAAGATAAGAATTGTTTCACATTTATATATACTAGTATGATTTTATTTCTAATTAATGTGAAATTTCCTGCCAAAGAATAAAAAATAAAATTCAAAGAGAAGAATAATATTGATGAAATAACAATAACCTTTTTTAATGCGAAATAATGATCGTTAATGATTCAATTAAATGACATAATTAATTATCATCTAAATTTAATGCAAATATTATATGCTAGTGAATATGAACTTTTGAGTGTGCAGATTAATAGTGACGAGAAATAGTGACATTAGAATTTAAAGATATGAAAATAAAAATATATATTTTATAGGAATTAAAATCAATTCTTGCTCATTTGATAAACATAAAAAACAATGTTTACAATTTTTAAAAAGATAAAAATCAAAAAAATTTTGCATGAAGCAAAATTATAACTCATTCATTTTATAGAAATTAAAAATATATTTAGCATATAAATTATTTATGCATACAATTAAGTGAAAATTCCCTTATTAATTGATTCATGTACTCATTATATACAAATATAATTTTTATTCATATATGTAATTTAATTATAAATCTTAGTTATATATAATAGATATTTAATATATAAATTTACATTTAGTTTGTGTAATACACATACTAAATATTAATAATTAATAAAGGCCAATAGTTATTTCTTTTACACCACTGATAATTATTAATTAAGATTTTTTGACACTAGTTAAGATTGGAACTAACTTTAATTTTTGTTATACATACATTGATTTTATGGCGTTTCTTAATTTATGATTTTATGGCGTTTCTTAATTTATGATTTTTTTTTATCAACAATTATAATCTCAATATATCTTGAGTTAATAACACTAGTAAATCCACTTTTATCTTATCTTTATTTTCAAATTTTCACATTTCTCTAAAAAAATCATATTTAGATTATTTTTTTATTTGATTAGCATATCCTCATCTTTAGATCAAACAACTTTATCTCTATAATATATATCTCGACTGTTTTTAAATAATTAGTTCTGTAATTTTTTTCTCAAAATCCAAAAACCCTTATCTCTTTGCTTTTTTAATATTTATTTAAATGGTTTTTTCATCGTTATATAATAAATATATCTTTTATCCCTTTATCAAGGTACGTGATTATCATCTAATAATAATCATAATATATATATTTTGATCTCTTAGATATATTAATATTTTAAAATTGATTTAAGTTTAAAAGTTTGGTCCCTCTAATGGTGAAATTTTGGTTTGCTCCCGCGTTTTCTGATCTAATTAGGTATTATTTAAGAGTTTGGTTATTGATGATTGATGATTGAGGTGTTAGAAGAAAGAAAGAAAGAGAAAGAAAAGAGAAAGAGAAAGAGAAAGAGAAAGAGAGTGATGGAGAAGTACGAGGTAGTGGAGGAAGACATAGGACTTGGGAGATACGCAGTGGTGAAGCGTATGCGTCACAAAAACACCAGACACCTCGTTGCCGTCAAACACATCCCACGGGGCCCCGAGGTACCTAATACAAATCAATGGTACTCAATTTTGAAATCTCTTTTAAGAGATTTTTTTTTTCATGTATAAAATCAAGTTCAAGATTTTATTTTAGGAGAATTTAATTTCATTACAACTAGAGACTTGTTGGTGCTCTGTGCACATATATATTTTTAGCTGTTCCTAAGATTTAACGCAGCTACATACACAAGGCAGGATTTAAACTCCTGACCTTATTTAAGCGTGGATCAACTCCTATCGCTGAACCACACGCTTGAGATTGCTCTATGCACATATATATTGTTTTACTATTTCTTTTTTTGTATTTAAATTAAAATAATTATTTTAATGAAAGTGTATTTGAAAATCACAAAAATATTTTTTTTTGGAGATTTAAAATTAAGAATATTAGTATTTCGTGTTTTGTTTATTATTTAAAAAATAACATTTTTTAAGAATCTTGAGAATATTACTTATAGAAATCTTTTACAAAATTATTCCAATAAAAAAGGTAAGAAACTAATATTTTTAAATTAAAAAGAAAGTTTTAATGTGATAAAATATCAATTAATATATAGTTATTTTCTTTAATTCGGTAAAAAATCCTTGATTGAATTAATATTAATGTTCTAAAAAAGAATTATGGTTAACAAAATGAATTTTAGTCATTTATAAGAATCATAATTGGTATGTATAAAAAGATTTTTCATGTATCAAACACTTATTATAGTGTTTTTTTTATTTTAAAATTTCTCTCTCATAAAAGTATTAGTATTATGACATGTGCAATGTATAAACTAAATGATTATTATATAAAATTAAAATTTGTAATAAATTATATAAAAAATAATATTTTCATGAAAATATTAGAAGTTATTTTCTAGAATTCTTATAAAGATACAAAAAAATGTTGTTGTATGACCTGACAAACGTGTGAATAAATATTCTCATTTTCACATTCATAAAGATAGAGAGAAAGATGATTTGAAACAAACATCCTCTGTGTTTAAGTTTCAACTCCTTGTTTCCTTTTAACTTATCCTCTATTTTTGGGTAACACAATTTATCCTCCTTTAGCTCTATTTTTAAATTAAATTTCAATAATTCTTTTAAAAAATATTTATTATAAAACATATAATTTATTGTATTTATTTATTTTAAAATTAATTATAATATAAATATTTATTTAATTTTTTATTATAAATTTTAATTATATAAGATATTTATACTGAGCATAATAAGACCAAAATATTAGTTTTAAATAATTTTTATGCTCACGTTGATGAATTTACGACTTAATTGTAGTTTGAGTTTTTCTTGTTTTTTTTTTATTTAAAAAAACTAATTCAATATGTTTATTTTTAAAATTAAGTAAATTTGATTTTTTGATGATTTTTATTACCATTCAAAATATTCAAACTGTCATTTTTTTTTGTCAAAGAATCATCAGGAAAACATAAGTTGAAACAGATATTTGATTATGTTAAAATAAAGAGAATTACTTCAAAAAATAAAACACATTAATAAATTTATTAAAAACAACAACAATAGAGATTTTAATTAATTTATATTTTATTATATATACTTGATTTTATCACAAATTTAACTATATTTTTTTATTAAAATTTTAAGTATTTTTGTTATTAATTAAACTACATTTTGTCACTCTATAGAAGATTCCTACAAACAAACACCTATGCACTAATTATTTAAGCACCAACAATTGAGGACATTTACTTTTTTTTTTGCTTAAGCAAACTTAAAACTTTTTTGCAGATTGATGAGAAGGTGGCAAGGGAAATCATAAACCATAGATCTCTTCACCATCCGAATATTGTTCGGTTCAAGGAGGTATGGTCCATTTTAGTTGAAAGTACTTGCTTGACTTCTATTATGAAATAATAGCATTGAGCATGCATATGACTACAATTAATGTAAGTGAAAGGTAAAATAATGAATATAAGTTAAAATTTTAAATAATACCACTATAAGCAAAAAGTTAGAAATATTTAATATAAAATATTAAATAGTAATTAACACTTGTTATTAATATATGCTTATATATTATTATGTTCAACTAGTTTGTTTAATATGGAATTTGAACTTTGCAGGTGGCTTTGACTCCAACACATCTTGCAATAGTTATGGAGTACGCAGCAGGTGGAGAGCTGTTTAATCGAGTTTGCAGAGGACCAATAAGTGAAGACGAGGTATATTATATAAATAAATTATACTCATATTTGTATAAGATAGTGTACAACAAGTTTTTTACTAAAGAAAAAAGAAAAGTGTGAGATACAAATACAAAAAATAATGTAAGATGGAGATAAATATAACAAATAATGTATAAATTATTGTTGATGTGATCTATTATCATGCATTTATCAATCACCTATAAATGTTTAGTCTCGTAAATTTCATACTTTAGACATTCAATTCTAAAGAAATTTTCTTTTTACAAGTTAATTTTGCATAATTGAATTAGACTTAGACTCGGAACGTGAAAGTATAAAGTTCATATTTCTGCCATATATATGCTCTCTCACACTTTCTTGCAGCAATTCTCCTCTACAAAAATATAAATTATAATAAATGACTTAAGAAGAGCACCAACTCCAATGTTTACAAGTCATGGCCACTGTTCATATAACAAAATGTTTAAACAGTTTGTTTCTCATTCTTCTTGTGACTTGTAAATTGCAGGCTCGATATTTCTTCCAGCAGTTGATTTCAGGAGTTAGTTATTGTCATAAAATGGTAAGTGAAACATATTTCTGAGAATGGATGGTTAGTTTCAGTGAGTGTTAGTGTTGGTAGTAACATGATTTTTATCTTTCTTATTGTAGGAAATATGTCATCGAGACTTGAAGCTGGAGAATACCTTATTAGATGGAAGCCCTGCTAATCGTCTCAAAATTTGTGATTTCGGCTATTCTAAGGTTCAATTATGAAATTCATTATTACCAATCTTGAATGATTTTGTTGGGAAAACTCGGACTTTCCCGCTTCGTGAAGTTAAGATAGGCACTTAGAAATTAAAGGTAGTAATGGGAGCACACGAGTTAAATTTTCCAATATGGAGATTCTTCCACTATGCAAAAGAATAGTAGGATTACAAGAATGTAATTACAAAATAGACTCACTCTATGGTGGCACACTCAAAACTTGAGACTATCTCTCTTCTCTCACAAAGAGGCTTTCTTACTTTCTCACTCTAAGAAGTGGATTCACTCTTGGCTTGGATTGGATAGGAATGAAGCCTCCTACCCCTATTTATACTACTCCACCTTCAGAATGAATGGTGGGGATCAAGGGTTGAGATTGGTTCTCTAGAATGTTCCACACATTCCAGGAATCTCTACTCCCTTCTATATCCTTCTATACTCTTCCATAAGGTTCCGGAAGGCTCCACACATCTCTAGAATGTTCCAGAGGATTCCACACTATTCCACAAACTTCTAGAGAATTCTACAATTCTCTAGGATTCTCTAGAATGTTCTAGAAAATTCTATACTTCTCTAGAAAGTTCTAGAATTTTCTAGAACCTCTCCAATTAAGGAGGGATCCTAACAAATCTCCCCCTCCCGACTTAATTGGGGGGCAGTAGTAGACCTGCACCTTGACAGCAATCTTCAAACTTCTTTGTCGGTATTACCTTGGTCATCATGTCTGACCAGTTCTCGTCTGTGTGAACCTTGTCAAGATGCAATTTCTTTTCCTCGAGGACTTCTCGGATCCAATGATATCTTGTGTCAATATGCTTCGTGCGGGAATGAAATTTTGAGTTCTTTGCTAAGTATATTGCGCTTTGATTATCACACTTTACCACATACCTTTCTTGTTCTACTCCCAGCTCAAGAAGCATGTTCTTCATCCACAGCATCTCCTTGCAAGCTTCAGTAGCTGCAATGTACTCCGCCTCTGTGGTGGATAATGCGACACACTTTTGCAGTTTTGATTGCCAAGAAACGGCTCCCCCTGCAAAAGTAGTTAGGTATCCAGATGTTGATTTCCTTGAATCAATATCTCCAGCCAAGTCTGCATCTGTGTATCCCTGTAACACAGGTTTCCCTTTTCCAAAGCACAAGCATCTTTTGGAAGTTCCACGTAAGTATCGGAGGATCCATTTGACCGCTAGCCAATGTTCATTCCCGGGGTCGGCTAAGAAGCGGCTGACGACTCCAACTGCATAGGCGATATCTGGTCTTGTGCATATCATCGCATACATGAGACTGCCTACTACAGATGAATATGGAATCTTCTTCATCTCCTCCATTTCTCTCTCACTTGTGGGACTTTGCTTCGAACTCAACCTGAAGTGTCCAGCAAGTGGTGTGTTAACTGGCTTACATTTGTCCATGTTAAATTGTTCCAACACTTTCTCTATGTATCTCTCTTGGGATAGCCACAACAGTCTCTTTGATCTATCACGAGTTATTCTCATCCCAAGGATTTGTTTAGCCGGTCCCAAATCTTTCATGGCAAAACTCTTGCTTAGATCTTTCTTCAAAGCAGCTATCTTTATGCGATCTTGTCCAAAAATCAACATATCATCAACATAGAGTAGAAGTATGAGGAAGTCGCCACTTGCATACCTCTTTATGAAGACACAATGATCGCTTTCTGTCTTTTTGAATTCATGTTCTGCCATGAAGGATTCAAACTTCTTGTACCATTGCCTAGGTGCTTGCTTAAGGCCATATAAACTCTTTGTGAGGCGACACACCAAATTTTCTTTGCCTGGAACTTTGAATCCTTCGGGCTGCTCCATGTAGATCTCTTCCTCTAGGTCACCATGAAGGAACGCCGTCTTGACATCAAGTTGTTCAATCTCTAAATCTTGAGTTGCTGCTATGCCAAGGATAACTCGAATGGATGACATCTTTACCACGGGTGAGAATATTTCTTCAAAGTCAATACCTTTTTCTTGACCGAATCCTTTAACGACCAACCGAGCTTTATAACGAGGCTTTGTGTTGTTATCTTCGGTTTTGATCCGGTATACCCACTTGTTCTTTAAGGCTCTTCTCCCCTTTGGCAGCTCTACGAGTTCATAAGTGTGATTCTCATGCAAGGATTGCATTTCTTCTTGCATGGCTTTCCTCCACTCTTCTTTATGAATATCCTTGATTGCTTCTTTATAGCTTTGAGGCTCCCCCTCATCAGTGAGCATAACATACTCCTCAGTGTTATACCAAGTGGATGGTCTTCTTTCCCTTGAGGAACGCCTCGGCTCTGGTGCTGGTAGAGAACTAGATTGAGGATCTTCCTGAGCTGGTTCATCATGAGTCTCCTGGTTGCTTTGCTCTAACACAGGCTCATCTTCTTCAGGATCATTGTCTTGATGTGTCTCATTATTCTCATGTTGAACTGGAGTGAGTTCGGTACTCTTTCTCAATCTTGGCTTCTCTGAGTTTTTAATGTCTTCGATTGTTTGGTCTTCGAAGAATACAACGTCTCTACTACGGACCACCTTCTTATTTATTGGATCCCATAGCCGATAGCCGAATTCATCCTTGGGTGAGCGGAGATAGATGCACTCCTTCGTCTTTGCATCAAGCTTTGCTCGCTCATCTTTGGGGATATGAACAAATGCCCTGCACCCGAACACTTTGAGATGATTGTATGATGCCCTTTTGCCCGTCCAAACTTCGTCTGGGATGGCACCACCCAAAGGGACTGATGGTGTGAGGTTGACAATGTCAACTACAGCCATTATAGCTTCTCCCCAAAATAACTTGGGTAACTTAGCATGAGAGAGCACACAGCGAACTCTTTCTTCGATTGTTCTATTCATTCTCTCAGCTAGCCCATTTAATTGCGGTGTCTTGGGTGGAGTCTTCTCTAACCTAATGCCATGTTTCTTGCAATAGGTTTCAAATGGGCCTCTATATTCACCTCCATTGTCAGATCGTACACACTTGATCTTTCGTCCAGTCTCACGTTCTACCAGAGCGTGGAATTCCTTGAAGGCATCAAGTACTTGATCCTTTGATTTTAGCAAATGCAACCACACCTTCCTTGAATGATCGTCAATGAAGGTCACAAAGTACAGTGCACCCCCAATGGATTTCTCAGACATTGAGCACACATCAGTGTGTACAAGGTCGAGAATGTTCTTTCTCCTTACGGGCGGAGAAGATCTTTGAAATGCAACTCTATGTTGTTTTCCAGCTAAACAGTGAGCACAAGGATCAAGTGATTTACCTTTCACATTAGAGAGGAGTTGCTTACGAGCGAGTATGTGAAGACCCTTCTCACTGATGTGCCCAAGTCGTTTATGCCAAACCTCTATGTCATCAGTGGTTATATTTACCTCTCCTTTGCAAAGCTTAGCTTGCATTACGTACAAGGATCCTTCTTTCTTTCCTCGAGCCATAACTAGACTACCTTTGGTGAGCTTCCACTTTCCTTCACCAAAGTAATTCATCAGACCAGCATCATCTAACTTTCCAGCAGAGATAAGATTGAGGCGCATGGCCGGGACATGCCTCACATCTTTCAAGACTAGCCTACATCCGGTGCTCGTTGTCAGGATGATGTCTCCTATCCCGACGATCTTGCTTCTATCTTGATTTCCCATTTGAACGGTACCAAAGTCACCACTTTGGTAGGATGAGAAGAAACTTCCATGAGGAGTAACATGGAAGGAAGCACCAGAATCCACAATCCAAGAGCTATCATCATAAGCAATGTTTAGGATGTTACCTTCTCTAATGATATATAACATATCTTCTTTAGATGCTACGGCAGTGGTAGTCTTTTCTTCTTGCTTCTTCATTGGGATGACTTGGTCTGGCTTGACAGTACCTGCCTTCTGATCTCTCTTGAAAGACCGACACTCCATTTTCCTATGACCCATTCTTCCACAGTAATAGCATGTAATCTTCGAGCGTGATTTGGATCTACCTCGAGATTGATACTGATCTCGGCTCTTACTACGTCCACGAGTCTCATTCTTTCCCCGGTTTTCAATGATATTAGCCTCGGGATGGATAGACTCACCTCGTTCCATTCTCCTCGATTCTTCTCCAAGAAGGCTATCACTAACAGCATCCATAGTGAGCTTTCCTTCGGGAGCAGAGTTACTAAGTGTGACTACTAGCGTATCCCAACTTTCCGGTAAGGAACTAAGGAGTAGAAGGGCTTGCAACTCATCATCAATCTTCATCTCAATTTTGGTTAATTGATTTACAAGCCCCTTGAAGTTATTCAAGTGCTCAATCATACTATGACCATCCTTATACTCCAGCTTCACCAATCGACGAACTAAATTGGCTTTGTTACGAGGTGTTTTCTTTTGAATCATGGACTCAAGTTTTGCCCATAATTCATAAGCATTTGTGTATGTAGAAACATGCTCAAAGAGAGATTTGTCGATGTACTTACGGATCATAGCAACGGCCTTCCGATTCAATAGCTCCCACTGAGCATCGCTCTTGCCTTCCACCTTCTCTTTATAGATGATGGGCTCATGCAAATCCTTGCAGTATAAATGATCCTCCATCATTGGCTTCCAATATGAATAATTATTGGCAGTAAGCTTGAACATGTCTCCATCATGAGCAACGTTGTCCTCCATCTTGAACTGCACGAGCTAATGACAACTTTTGATGAACCTGGCTCTTGATACCACTGTTGGGAAAACTCGGACTTTCCCGCTTCGTGAAGTTAAGATAGGCACTTAGAAATTAAAGGTAGTAATGGGAGCACACGAGTTAAATTTTCCAATATGGAGATTCTTCCACTATGCAAAAGAATAGTAGGATTACAAGAATGTAATTACAAAATAGACTCACTCTATGGTGGCACACTCAAAACTTGAGACTATCTCTCTTCTCTCACAAAGAGGCTTTCTTACTTTCTCACTCTAAGAAGTGGATTCACTCTTGGCTTGGATTGGATAGGAATGAAGCCTCCTACCCCTATTTATACTACT